GGTCTCTCTTCAGCACATGGCTGATTAGAAGCAACTGCCTGTCTCCCCCAAACAGATGGGGACCATCAAGAGGGTAGTCATTTGGGGATGAACAATAAGCTCTGCACACTCCTGAGTTCTCTTCCCCAACTTATTCCTACTGTCCATACCTCCAGCTTGATGGGGGGAAGAGGGTGCTTCCAGCTCCACTTGCATACCATCAGCCCACAGCCAGATCTCAGGAGGCAGGTCCTCCCATCCTCCAAAAGTCTACAGCCAGTGCAGCGCCTACATGTGAAGGGGACAAATGAATACCAAGCTCATTTAGGGTCATGAACTAGCCTCTACTCAAGCCTTACAGAGCATTGGAGTTGGGGCAAGGGGAGCGACTGGGGATTCAGAAATGCATGAGCTTGTCTGGGCAGTGAAAGCAGCATCGAGAAGGAAGTGGTCTGGGAGCAGAGGAGATCACCAGTTGGAGTGGGGCCAGGAGTGCTTATGAATTTTTAAGGCAGAGGGAATAGGGCATGCAAAGGGCCAGAGGCATAAAAAAGTCTGGTATGTAAGGAAAGAAGAAAGTAATTCAGAATGTCTGGGGTTTTGATTGAATGGAAGAGGGAAGAAGGTTGGCATGGGCAGATGAGATGGTAGTTTATTTATAACCAGATAGTGAGGAAGGCTGCAGACATGAAATTAAAAGATGTTTGCTCCTTGGAAGAAAAGTTATGACCAACCTAGACAGCATATAAAAAGCAGAGACATTCATTACTTTGCCTACAAAGGTCCATATAGTCAAAGCTATGGTTTTTCCAATAGTCATGTATGATGTGAGAGTTGGATGATAAAGAAGGCTAAGTGCCAAAGAATTGATGCTTTTGAACTGTGGTGTTGGAGAAGACTCTTGAGAGTCCCTTGGGCTGCAAGGAGATCCAACCAGTCCATCCTAAAGGAAATCAGTCCTGAATATTCATTGGAAGGACTGATGCTGAAGCTGAAACTCCAATACTTTGGCCACCTGATGTGAAGAGCTGACTCATTAGAAAAGATCCTGATCCTGGGAAAGATTGAAGGCAGGCAGAGAAGGGGATGACAGAAGATGAGATGGTTTGATAACATCACCGACTCAATGGACATGAGTTTGAGTAAACTCCAGGAGTTGGTGATGGACAGGGAGGCCTGGTGTGCTGCAGTCCATGGGGTTGTGAAGAGTCGGACACAACTGAATGACTGAACTGAACTGAGTGAGGAAGATCAGAGCCTGGTCCACAAGTCTTCCAATAGAGGAAGGAGAGCCGTTGAAGGGTTTTTATATAGCAGCAACAGGACCAGATTTGCCTGTTCAAAGAACCATGCCCACCCAACCCCACAACCAAGCTGCAGAAGGTGGATTGATTAGAAGGGGTAGAGACTAGAGGCTGGTTAGACCAACAGGTGGCGCTACTATAAAGAACCTGCCTGCCAATGCAGGAGACAAAAGAGACTACTGTTCGATCCCTGGGTCGGGAATATCCTCTGGAGAAGGAAACGGCAACCCACTGCAGTATTCTTGCCTGGAGAATCCCATGGACAGAGGAGCCTGGTGAGCTATTGTCCATGGAGTTGTAAAAGAGTCGGACACGACAGAGCAACTAAACAACAACAAACAAGACCAACAAGGAGGCTACTTAAGTAGTCGACGGAGAGATGAGGCGGGGCTAAACTGGGAGGGGAGGAGTCTGGAACTTCTGACATTCCCTCTGGCTCTGCCTCTGCTCTGAGTGGTGAGGAGGAGGTGGGACCAGGACCACAATTGCTGGGGGCACTTGCCCTCCTCAAGTTTCATTGTGTTTGGAAAGTCTTCTTCAGGCCAGAAGACAATCGCCATGAATTCACAGGCTAACACCTCCAAGCGCAGGATAAACAGCCAGGGCCCTATTTTCTGGCCCTGCCCTCCTAGGAGAGTAACTGAGGTGAGGGGTCCCAGCTCTACCCCTCTGCGTGGCAGGCAGGAAGGAGAGAGGGGCCTCGAAGAGCAGGTCAGAGCCTGCCCTCAGTCAAAGGAAATATCCACCCTCCTAGGCCTTTCAGAGACTGTTTTCTTCCAAGTAGGTCCCACTGTTACCAGGGCAACGAAGAACCCTGGGCTTTGTGTTTCTGTCTGTGGAGTCCCTGGGGAGAAGTGATCTGTGGAGCTTTCCCTAGTCTAGGCAGGAAGCAGGAAGTGCTAGCCGGAGGTGGAGCCCCTACTCCCATTTAGAGATAATCTCTTGCCTTGTTAATGCCTTTCTCCATCCCCTGGGCGGCCTGGGCGGGGCCAAGGCCCCAGGGAAGTCAGTTCTGGCAGCCTAGGCTCTGGTGGACCTGGTTTCTCAAGGCTAGGCCCATCTTATGGCACACCTCTCTCAGGAAGTGCAATCTGAGCAAGTGTCCTGGAGGGGGAAGCTCACACTAGGCCATGCTACATGCTGGGGGATCACTGCACAAATATTTCTTGATCCCATACTACATGCTAGTGCAGGATCTCCAGGCTGGCTCCTGCTCTGGGGAGCTCTGTGGGAAGGCTCAGAACCAAACTGGCCATTAAATGTCACCTGAGCTGGTTGGTCCCCAAGGCTCTTTTCTGCACTGGGCTGGGCTAGTCATTAGAATTGCCTAGGGAGCTTTTTAGAAATAAAAATTCCTGGAGATTCTGATTCCACCAGTGTGGGTGTGAGTGGAGGGTGGAGGCTAAGAGTTCTGGATGTCTAATTGCTAGACCTTACAGTTGAACTCTGCAGTTGGAGCAAGTGACCTTAAGCTACCTCTTCTGGGCTTTTGTTTTATTTCCTTGTTTGGGGCATGCAAATGGACTTCTGTGAGATACAACCTGGTCACTTTCATTGGGCAGCCAGGATCCCAGGTAGGGCCTGCCATCTCATGAGTCCTGCATGCACTCTGTTGCAGCAGCCCTGAAAGGTATTAGCATTTCTGGCACCCATGGCACTCTGCTGATTCATCCTGAGCCATCACCACCTCAGGCCCCCATCAACTTTCAGATTTTTTTTCACACCTTTCTTCTCATCCACATCTTCCCCACTCAGGCTTCTGCAGATGGTTTTGTGAACTTAACTGCAAGATCTCACAGGGGCACCTAGCAAAGGTCATTTAAGCACATCCTTCTAAGTTAGATTGGGAGGGGGTGGCTCCTGATTCCATTTTGGAGGGGGTCCTCTAGTCCTCTAACTTAATGCCATTTGCTAATGCCCTTGGCAGCCTACCTCTAGGTCTCCATCCAGCAGCCCATGTATTCACTCACTTCTTTGTTTATGTACTAAACTAGGGTTGTGGTCCTACTGTGTGGATCCCGAAATGCTAATACCTGTGCTGGATAGCTGTGTGCTGGGCCCAGGGGACTATATGGATGAGGAAGCTATGTCCTAAGCAGGATTGGGAGTCACACAGGGTCCCAAATCCAATCAGTGGTGTGACCAGACTGGAATACGGGGCTCTTTTTCCTGTACTCACAGGGCTCCCCACTGCAAGGGTTGGCAAGGCTGAGCCTGCTCTTACTTGCCCCCACCTCCTTTGACAGGCCATCACAAATGCAATCTGAGATCACCTAGCTCTCCCTGAAATGGCATGAGAAACTCCATTGGGTGCTGGAGACTTTATCTGATCCCCGGAAGCAGAAAAGGGAGCTCCAGTACTCACTGATGCTGCTCATGGCCCCACAGCCTTGTCCCTCCCCCAAAGGGGCAGTTGTCAGCCACACACTCATGCATACTCATCTTCATAAACTCAGCCCTGCCACTGGCCTGCCTTGCTCTTCAGGCCCTTCCTTGAAGGACGGAGCTGGCTGGTTCTGGAGTTTCCAGAGATCAGGCACCTGGTTGCTTTGGCAAAGACCCAGAATCCGGTCAGGTTGAGGCTTGAGCGTGACAGGGGGCTTTCTTGGGAAAAGGCTTGGAGTATCAGAGTTGAGAGAGTATAGATCTGGGAGTCACAAAGACCCAAGTCCACCATGCAACCTAGTATTTCTGAAATTCAGGTCCCTCAGTTCTATAAGAAGACGCCATTACCTTCTTCACTGAGTGTGGGAATGAAATGTGGTCAAGGTGCCTGGCACACGGTCAGAAACAAGCTAGTTTCCTCCCTCTTTTCTCCCTCCCTCCCTTTGTTCCTTCCCCATAAAGAGGCAAAGCAAGCGCACATCTGATGCCGGGCTTTGTTTCTCACAGCATGTCTGTACGGTGGTGGGCAGGACAGGATAGACCCTGTTGGAGGGCCAGTGGAGGGAGGCGGAGAGGGGTGAAGCATCCCTAGAGCTGAGGAATGGGCAACTGTGGTGCTATGATAGCGCCACTTAGTAGCTGTAAACCTTGGGCCAGGCTTTCTCCTCTCTAAGCCTCAGTTTCCTCGTCTGTAAGAGGAGAGTGAGATGAATGAGCTAATGGGTGTGAAGTGCCTGGCAGAGCCACTGCTAGGGACTCCAGAAGCATTCTCACCCACTGTCCCAGGTGAGAAAAATTCAGCTCATGGCTGGGAAACTTGAGCAAATCTCAGAATGGGATTCAGTTTCTTCTGACCCCACAGTCTGTGAGGAGCAGTGAATTCTTGCTGGACAGTGTCTGCGTGGACTTGCTCTGAGAGTGTATTTAAAAATCTTCACCAGCTTTCTCATTTATGTCCCATAGCTCCATCTAGTGCCAAAAAGTGGAAGGGCCTTCCCTCCTTCCCCTCTCCCTCCCTCCAGAGTCGTGTTGCGCTGTGTGTTGTGTTTGGAGGCCAGGGGGACTGCAGTGTTACAGGATGGTAAGGCTGGTCACTCATATCCTTATATTAGTGGAGAACTAACGCTGTTTTTTAAGATGCCTAGTCCCTCCACTTCCCTCCTGACAGCTTCTGCCATTCACAGATTCAGTAGGCTGGAGCCCTTAGTTTGAAGGACTTCAAGGTGAACTTCAGGCTAGGGTTGATCCAGGCAAAGTGTCTGAGAAGTACCTAATGCCTCCTAGGTGGTCTTCTGTGCTTGCTCAATAACCCAGAGAAACACAGTCTTTACACACCCTTTATCCTTTTATTGAGGAGAAAGCTTTAGCATACAGAACAATTTCTCATCTTCACAACACAGTAATACAACAATAACACACTGGTTTCAAACAATTTCTCCCCGGGTCTCTGGGAATCCCTGGGCTGCCCTCATACCCCTGCATGCATACCCCCACCCCCACCCACCCCTCTTTAAACCCAAGAAATAGCCCAAAGCCCATAGTTCCTCTTACAGCTCTTGTGGCTGTTAGATCACAACATTGAAGATCTGGGAAAGGAGGGGAAGAGGGTCAAAGGGGAGCCCAAGCCCCCTTGCCACCAGAGGGCCACAAACCAGCTCACTACTCATCTGCTCTTTCCCAGTGGAGGCTACATGGGCTCAGGATGAAAAGCACCATGGGAACAGGCAGGGCCTGTGATGAGGGGTCCCTGTAAGTGTGGGTGCAAGGCTCCTGTCCTTTGGACTTCTCTGACAGGGACATGGACAGCAGGAAAAGCATGTTGGCCATCAGCAAACAGAGTCCACAGCCTTGAAGAATGGCAGGCCTCCTTCTGGAACTCTCTCCTGAGAAAATAGCTGAAAAACAGACAAAATTTTCTTTACAAGGTTATTTACTTTTGAACTGGTAGGGATGGGGGAAACCAGTCCAACACATTAGGAGAAAACTCAAATAAGTTATTCAGTCTGCGTGATTGCATAGGTGGCAGCCATTTTAAATCCTGCTGATCAAGAGCTCGCAGATCTCAGCTTTGAAAAGACATGGCAAGAACACACTAGAAAGAAAGGCAGCAAAGTGTTAAGAGTGTGGCTTATCTGTGTGATGGGATTCTGAATGTGGCTTTTGGATCCCCATCATCTTCTCTATTTGCCAAATTTTCTATAATGATTATGTATTACTTTTCTCTTTGGAGGAGGGAGTAGCCTTTTTAAAAGATAGCAACAGGTTATAGGAACCTGCCTCCACCAATCCCCAGGCTGAGAAATGTGTGAGCAACAGAAGTACTTCTTACCTCCCACTGATGAATACAGACCTCACCGGAAACCAGTCGGAGGACTGGGTTTCTCTGTGACTCCTCTTCCTCCTGCTTCTTTTTCTTGCCTCTGAGCTCAAAATCCTAAGGCTGGGCTGAGGTTATCTGTCAGACTTCAGTGAGGAACAGAGGTTTAATTTACTATGTTTTCTTCCCTCTGGCCACAGATACTTTGGCTGCACTTGCCCAGCTACCAGGCCCTGTGCAGGAAGCCCAGTATGGAGGGCAGTTCAAGCCATCAGTGGGTCTGGCTGTCATTCTGTGGCCAGAGTAACATAGTATGTACTTTTCACTGCAGAACCATGTCTTCTGGACCCAAAGCCAGCAGCAGGTCTCTGTGAAGGCCCCTAGGTTAGGACCCAGAAGCCCCAGGAATTACTAGGAGGCAGTCAACCTCTTAAACCTCACCATCTGCTCAATGCCCAGCATCAGACTATGGCTTGCCCCTCATGTGAGAGACATGAGGTCATCCCGGTCGCAAAGCTGCAGGAGGCACAGTCTCTGTAGAGAGAACCTTCCTCTCTCCTCTCAGAACTAAGGAGTCCTTCACGTTGGAGTTGAAGAGCAGGCTTTGGACCTCTCTCTCTGGCATTCTGGGAAGGAAAGGCCAATTAAGCCACCTCTGGAACCCCAAGGATAGCAAATCTTCTGCCAAGACCTATGGCTGGAGACTGCAGTCCAAGGCCTGGCCAAGGGAGACCATCCCTAAGGAAAGAGTCACTCCTTACAAGGTCAAATTGAGTTGTTGCTGCTTTCTCCAGCTCCTCCTCCCCGACTTAACTGCCTACCCTTTAGGCAATGTCAAGGAAAGGAGTAGGGCATGGAATATTGGGCTGTGTCCACTAGGGATGCCCAGGAGAGAAGTGAAGTAAGAGGAAAGGGTCCCAGATCTGGCGAGCTCTGAGGCCCTAAGCCCATGCTCTGTGGGAACATGGGACCAGCTTGCTCAGTCAGTTGAAGACAGGTCTCAGCTGGGTGATCCATTGGACATGTGGCTTTGCATTCTCTCACTGGGCTAATTGGAGGGGACTCTTCAGGGCCCTCCTACTGGAGGGGTGACCTGAAGCAAGTGTAGGCTTCCAGGCACGTTTCTTGGTAGCATCCTGCTGTCCACCGTTTATACCTAGTAAGTGACTTCAGTGGTTTTAGAAGTTCAGTGGAGCCTGTCCCGGGCAGAGCAGTGAGCCATTGGGTGAAGTTCAGGTTAGCCAGCCAGAGGATTAAACCATAGAACACAGTGTGAATTAACACAGGAAAGGTGAGGGCTTGGAACAACTAGAGGGGAAATACAAGAGGGTGACCAGTTCATTTATGGGAAAGGCCCAGAAACCTGCTCTCTAGATCCTGGGAGGTATGAGCAGAGTGCACACTGAGAGGACAGCTATCACTGCGCCCTCCTTTCCCGAGTGTCACTCCCCAGTCACGGTCACAGGATGGTCTGGAGTCCTCCAGGTCTTCTTCAGGTTCTGCAGGTCTGGAACTCCCTTAAGTACTGGTCAGTGAATGAGGCAGGTGTGGCAGCGAAAGCAGGGGCAGGGAACACAGTGGAAGGGTGTGTTGTGGGGGAGGGGGCAGCTCACTCCAGCTCTCACACGCGAATACGGCCCCGTGCAGCCCGGTGGCCCCCCTGCCTCGGAGTGAGGCGAAATAGCACTGGGGGACGGCGTCGGATTTGGCGTTGCCCCAGGCGACCTGCGCGGCGAATCAGCGGCGGTGAACTGTAGAATGGTGAATTGGTACCTGGAAGGCCCTCCAGAAGTGGGAGTCGATTCTGGTTCCTCCGTCTGCTGGGCTGTATGATGGGAGGCGACACATCTAGGAAGTTTTCATGATAGTAGCCAGAAGTCTGGGATGAAGCGTTGGCATAGGTGGGCTCCATCTCCATCAGCTCATCCAGGTCATCATCTTGGGTCTCATCCTCTGTCTCCTGCTCCTGCTCGGCCTCTTGCTCGGGCTCCTGCTCTGGTTCCTGACGGCCACCCTCATGTTCCTCTTCTTTCTTGTCCTTACTCTGATCTTCCTCTTCCTTCTTCCTCTTCTTCCTCATCCCCTCCTCTTCCTCCTCTTCTTTCTCCTCCTCTTCTTCCGCCTCCTCTTCTTCCTCCTCCTCCTCCCCGTCCTCCTCCCCTTTCTGTTTCAGCTCCTTCCTCATCTCTTCCTCCCTCTTCCTCCTCTTCTCCTCCTCCTCCCCCCTGGTCTCTTGCTGGATTGCTCTCACGCGCCTCCGCTGGTCCTTGTTGAGAATCCTGCGCCTGCGTGCCTCTTCATCTTCATCCCCACTGTGGCACTCTTCTCCCTCTTCACCTTCGAGATTACGGTCTGCTGCAAAAGGGAAGAAGATATTGCGAACCCCAGGGAGTGGCATTGGCTTGGGGACACGCACTTTTCTTTCTATCTCCACACACTCAAGAATCAGCTCGTCCAGGTCGGCCATTTCAGTTGACCATAAGAGCTCCTTGCGGAAAAACTCTGATAAGCCTTTGAGGAACTGGTTTTGAAGGCGGCAGTCATCCCAAGACAAGAATTGAGCCAGGAACTGAAAAGCATCTGCATAGCTGCCCAGGGTACAGTCTCCCTGCTTGAGCTTGCGGATGGCTTTTTTTGCCACGCTTGGGGGAATGGGGCCACAGAATTGCTTACGGATTTCATCCAGGAAGCGCGGAAAGTTTGCATGCAGGGGGCTTCCTTCCTGGGTGACTGAGACGGCCCAGTCCTTGGCTTCACCAGCGAAAAAGGAGATCACAAAGGCCACCCGCTCAGCTCCCCCGGGGAAATGATCCTCATGGTCGGCTATGAAAGTCTCTAGCTGCATCAAGAATTCAGCCAGGTAGACTGGGTCGCCCGAGAAGGGCTCTATCTCAGGCCGCTCCAGCGGCGGCAGAAGAGGCTGCGGGGGCAGCTCCTTGGCCGGGGGCGGGGGCAGCGCCGGCGGGGGTGGACTGGGCATCGGGGGTGGGTCGGTGGGTGCGCCGGAGGTGCCGCAATCCTGGATCACGCTAATCAACAGTTCGTCCGGGGCATACTCGGGCTCGGTGCGCGGGGGAGGCCAGCACATGAAGGGCAGTTCTCCCTCGGGAGCAGCGTCGATCTCACTGAGCGGGAACTCAAAGTTCTCCTCAGAAAGGGCGGGCACCCCGGGGACCGGCCAGCGCATGTAGCTCGAGACATTGCCCCTCAAGGAATTGACCTCGGCCAGGGCTCTGCCGAGCTGAAGGCCCAGATTGGCATTCTCCCCGCGAAGGGCATTTAATTCTTCTCGCAGGGCCACGTTCGCCATGCGGAGACTATTGAGATTCCCGGCCGCCTCGGACATCAGGACTAGCCGGGGCCCTGGGGCTGTAGGCAGGGGTGGGATGGGGAGATACGGCCGTGAGAGGAGCCGGGGGCCGCGGCGGGGCGCGCGGGGGGCCGAGCCACACCCACTGGAGCGAGCTCGGAGGGCCTGGCGGCTCCGCCCGGGGCGCGTTACCTCGTCCCGAGGATCGCAAAGGGCGGGCGGCGGCGGGAGCCGGGAGGCGCCGGGCGGAGGAGGCGGGCGGCGAGGCAGCGAGGCGGCAATCGGGCGGGCGGAGGCTGGCGGTGAGGTAGGGAAGTGACTGCGGCACGATCTGTCGAGGAAAAATCTTGCGGCTGGCGCGTCCCCGCCTTTTAAGCGCGGCCCGCGCCACCACCCCCCACCCCCGGCAGGGGCGGGTCTTAGGGAACCGCGGGAGCCCACTGGCCGCTGCGTGCCGCCCCCCTCAAGTCCCCCCGCCCCCCCGCTTGGCGGCGCCTCTCACTGCCTCTCTCCTTCCCTAGCTGCAGCTAACTCGGGTCGGGAAAATGCGACAGCGACTGCCCACTCGAGGTCGTCATGGCGACAGCCAGTGAACGTGTTCCTCTCCTCGGGCAGGCCCCCGAGTGTAGAGGAGCTGCTTCGCGAGGCGCAGCTCAATCTCCAGAGCCTGTTGCAAGGTACTGAGAGGGAGGGGGGCTGCGGCCAGAGGCCACGGGCCCAGCAGCAGCTAGAGGGAGGCGACGAAGAAAGGACAGGGACCCGCGAGAGAAAAAGAGAGAATAGTAGAAAACCTATTGAAAAACAAAAGACACACTTGCCATCTTTCACCTTCCAAACTACTGACTCCAAAAGACTCTAATTTTAAGGCTGTTTACACCCCTTGCTCCCCCCTTCCTTTTTTTCAGTTCACTTCTCTCTGGGGTAAAAGGGACAGAGCCATGAGTCAAGTCATTTACAAAGAGCACCAGATGAGAGACTCTGAAAATGTGGGTCCACATACCCTCAGGTCTTCTCTTGCCACATCACCCAAGCTTTTGGAATTCTGGCACCCAAACACAAAGGAGGCATCAACAGGGTCTCCCTCTCTGGGCTTCACACTCTCTGCTTTTGAAATAACCTTGTTCATGTGTCTCCTGGGTCACTCCTGCCTCACCAATTAAGCCCAATACACAGCACTCAGACTTCATCTCATTCCTAATTCCCAACTCAGTGTCTTTGAGGTATACGGATGAGCACCTTGTACACAAAGCTAGGTCCACACAACCAGAGAAACAGCCCAGTCAGACTGTGTGCACTGTGTGCACCAGGTGGAGTGAGAAAACCCATACTTTGAAATCAGACAGAGCCAGAATCTGAGTTGAATCCCCCACCTAACTAGCTGTGTGGCATTATGCATATTACCCAACCTCTCTGAGCTTCAGGTTAGTCAGTCATCTTCAAAACCGGGATTCCAGTTTCCCACATGGCAGAATTTTGTGAGAATTAAAAATAGGGTGTTCCTAAACCAACTGGCAACAGTATCTGGCAGGTGGATAAAATGTTACTGATAAAATGCAACATCAACTCCTGATTGGTGTCCTTTGGAACACAGGCTGATCTAGACACAATGTTAAAATTAACCTAAAAGAGAAAAACAACGTGGTCCCTGATAGATCTTACAACATGAAAAACATACACATTGACCAGTGGGATTTATCCAATGTAAGTGGCAAGAGGATTAAAACTCAATGCTATGAGAGAAACTCTTAGGGTGCTGCACATATCTGGATGGAGATTACAAGGGGCATGCATATATCAGAATTCACTGAACTGCACACTGAAGATTTGTGTACTTTACTATAGGTAAGTTCAATCTCAAGAAAAAAATACAAATAAAACCTCAGTGCTAGTTACAAACTCCTTATACCCTCCAGGCACTCATTGTCCCACTCGAGGCTCTTTTCCAAGCATAGAAGCCCTTCCTCCCTCTTCCTCACTCCAATCCTTATACTTTCTTCCAAGTTCTATGCTTGCCAACTCCAAAAGGACCTTTAACACTAGTTCTGCACTTTGCATGATTCCCTCCCTAAGCACTCATACAAGGCCCTTTGTATCATCTAGCTCAAAAGGACTTGTATAGTTCTGAACTGATTTTCCTTTCATTTGTTCATTTACTCATTCTTCTGCTAATCCCAGGTATATATTTTGTCCACCTAACCAGACTGGGCTTCTCAATGTTAAGAATCACATCTCTTAGAACTCTCAGGTTTCTGGGAGTACCTGGCATAGGGTTGGATCCACAAGAGGGCATTTGTTGAGTGAACATTAAAAGCGAAAAGAGGTCTTACCAGCTGTCATTTATTCACTACCAACAAAGGCTAACTTTTATGGAGAAGAGAAAACTTTAGAGTGGCCACCCAATTGGACAACAGCCATGACCCCCACCTCCCTCCCAGGGCAGTGGCCAGCTTAGAGAAGCAAGATTCCAAGGGACACCGTGAACCTTGTGTTCTGATGAGAGGAGCTGCCATGCAGAAAGAGTCCGTGAGCTCTGTGTTACCACCATGAGCAGAATGAGGACAAGTGGGTGGAAACCTAGGGGGAGGTAGATTTCACCTCAAGATAAGGAAGAACTTTCCATATGCCTGACAGTCCCAACTGTCCTTGGATGGAATGAGCCACCTTGGGAGGAAGGCTGCTTCCCTTCTCTGCAGGCAGGTGTGTGTGGAGGCTGAAGAAACACCTGGAAGGGCTGCTGAGGAGGAAATGGGAGCCCAGAATGAAACGTTGGACCAGAGAACCTTCGAGGCCCCTCCTGACTCCAAGTTTCTATGATTCAAGTCTCTGTTTGAATGTGCAAGCACTGTTGGTTCTTTAGCCTCACTTCCTTCATTCATTGAATCCATCACTTAAATAAAACCCATTCAAATCTTCTGCATCCTTCTTATTCCCTGACAATGCCCCTCAACTTCTCTTTCTCCTCTGCCACTACCTCCACCTTCCCTCTCTTTCACCTTAGCCCCCCTGGAACTGACATTGCCCTCCACCACAGTGGGGCTAAGGTGCAGGGAACCAAGCCCTCAGAGGCTGAGGTAAGAGTTCTCGGCATCCAAGGGAATGTTCAACATTGAACTTCCCAAGGCAAATTTCTTTGTGCTTCACACAGGTCATGTCCCTGGTAGGATTGTGTAAAAACCTAAAGATCTGCAGGGCTTCAAAGAGAGGGCCTTGGAGCAAAAAGTGGCCAAAGACATCTGCATCCCGAGTCTCTTCCCTGAGTTGAACACTTACCATGGGGGCCGTGGAGACAAAGGCTTAGTCCCGGAACCAGCACAACTCAAATCCATTGACTCTCTTTTCTCCTCGTAGGAAGTAGGCATTTTTCCATTCCTGAATCCAGAGGCTCAGATGCTGGGAACTAACCTAAAGAAACAATGCGAGTCAGACCTGGCAGCTAGAGCAGGAGCCCCCAGCTTGTGGTCCTTCCCCAGCCCGGCGCTTGGCCGTGGCTCCCTAGAGTGTGTATCCACTGTGCTGTTTTTCAGAAGAATATGAGGAACAGTACTCGGAGGCCAGACTTCTGGGGCAGACCTTCCGCTCTGCTGATGAGGCCCCTGAGCCCACCCCCAGCCCAAGGCTCCAGTCTGCCAGGCGTCTGGAGTTTGTACTGATGGTGAGTTGCCTCTTCCCCCACCTGGGAGAGCCAGCATGCAGAGCTTGCCCCACGCCCATTGACGGGGGACCTGAAACAACTTTCATTACCCACTGGGCGCTGCTACTTACCTCTGCTCACCAGCAGAGCCATCCCGAGGCCCCACTGAGGTGGGCCCTGCACAGCAGGCATCTGGCCTGGCAGCCTATCCAAAAGCTTTCCTGCCTCCCTGATGAAGCTTCTGACCACCCTGCCTAGACAGCCATCCTGTGGGCACAGCCCATCTCCAGTTGGAAGCACACCCTTCCCATCACCTTCTTTCCCAACAGCCCACAAAATGGCAGCTGAGCGAGGATGAGACTACCATGCAGGGTGTGAGGGCCCCTGAGGCCTCCCTGAGCCTGCCTACCACAGCCGACAAGCAAGCTGCCTGGAATAGCCCCTTTCCTCTGCCCATCCTAGAGGAGAAGCGGTGGCTTCAGTCTTGTCCCACACACTCTGACATCGTGCCCATCAACGTCTCCGGTAGAGTTGCTTAGCATCACCTCTGTTTGCTTCCCTCCATGCCAACTATAGATCATCCTGTCCAAATGCACTGGGTGCTGGGGGAGGGAGCAAGACTTTCTTTGCTACTGGCTCACCCTGCACTGTCAAGATCGTGGATCTCACCAGGGAATGTAGGCATGCTCTTTCTTCACTTTCTACTGGCCCTGCCATGCTAACTGAGACCATTTGATGGCAAAGGAAACTCTCTTACCAGAAAACTCTAAAACTTTATGAATTTGTGTACTCTTTGGAGCATTGTGGAAACTTAGAGTGTATGAGTTATGTTTGGTGTCAGAAGCTGGGTTTGGAGCACACAGATAGGAGTTTAAGGGGACGTGTGGGGTTCAGGGTGCTGGTGGTAAATAGTAAGATCAGACAGAGCACAGACCAAGGGCCTTGCAGCACTATGAGTCGTCACTCAGTCTCCTAGTGGGGGTGGGCTTCCTCCTAATGTGCAAGATCAAAGAGTAACCTGGTACTACCTTGAGATGGGAAAAATACTGTACACAGCTCAGCTGGCTTTTTCTCTGGGGACATGTGGAACTCTGTACCATGCCCATTATTAATTCATTCACCACACTTCACCAGCTATAAGTGGAAGAGGAGGAAGGTCAACCATTTCAGAAGGAAATAGGGCCAACAACTTGATGAGATAAAGACCTCCTAACTCAAGGGGACCAGAGGTACCCTGTGAACCAGCACTGGCCTGTGGTGTGCTGGAAAAAGTTGATGAAGATGATAAGGATAGCTCTGGCCACAAGTGGTGATACTCCCTGAATATGAGGTCATCCAGTGCCACTGGTGTCATCTCAGGAAATCAGAGGCAGGAAACAGAGCCCAGAGCCTCAGGAGATGTACCCAGAAGTGGGAAGGCTGAGAGGAAAAGCTCACAAAGTGATGGTGGGCACTTTGTTTTTGAACTTCTACCTTGCCCTCAGTGAGGCTGGCCCTGTGTTTTGTCCACAGAGCCACTTTCTGGGGAGGGGGGTACCTATGTATCCATGGGACTAAGAGGGAAGGGTTTGGTTAGCCAGCCGCTGAAAGAGAGACAGTGGTGGGAAGCAGCAAACTTCACTCCACTGCCCTCACCCTGTCCTTGCCCTAGCAACTCCACAGAAGCAAAGACTGAGCTGGTGCTTTGAGAAAAGTAGATCTCAGTTACCACGCAGGGCAAACTTTGATCAAACGTGATCAGGGGGCTGGAGGGCAGGTTATCTGACTGCTTCCTGGATGCCAGGATGGGGCAATTTCTTGGAGACACTCATTGGCCCAAGTTAAAGCATTCTCTGAGAAAAGATTGCAATCAAACAACATCTAGTCTCAACCTGTCTCTCTCCACTTCAGGGGTTCTCACCCCAGGTTGTACATCTGAACAATCACCTGGGGAGTCTGAGAAAATGCTTCTACCTGGGCCCTATTCCCAGAGTGTTAAGTGTTCTGAGATGGGGTACAGTTGTTAGAGTTTGAAAAGCCACCCAGTTTATTTTGATATAAAACCAGGGTTGAAAACCACAGCTCTCAGCCACCTAAGACTCACAGGTGACCCCAGGGTGGACCCCTGAAATTCAGCATGCATGCTTTGGAGCTGCGGGTACCCAGGGCCAAGAGGGGAGGGATGGGGAAGAAGGGTCACCTGCCTGAATGCTATTCATTCTCATCGCTACTGCCATCATCCCTTCTCTCTACCTCAGGCCAGTTTCTACCATACTGTGAACAGAAACCAGGATGCACCCAAGTGTCTTTATTTTGGCTACAGGGCAGCAGTTTGATAAACATGCAAGTTTGCGACACTCGTTGTTTAACACAGAGACAGCCGTGAACCCCAAGTCCACCCTGAGGCGGAGGCGGACCATTATTGGATTCTCTAACTATTCCCAGCGAGACCAAGGTGACCCCACCATAGCTGATCCCCCAAACCTTTTCCTTTGCTCACTCTTACCATTTCTGCAACCCAAGTGTTATTGCTGTGACAGAGAACAGGAGTGATTGGGGGAGAGGGGGACTTTGGACATCTTGAAAAAGGCAATATATTAATAGTAATTAAGGATAACCAAAAGCCTTTTGTAAAGGGCAGCAACTGAAAATGGACAGGAGATCTCCAGTCTAATAAATTTGTTATGTTATTGTTTCCTATTTTAAGTAGAATATAGCTATATATGTCAACTTTAGGCGGATAAAGAAGGAAATCATCACTAAAAGTAGCATCTTCACAAAACCATTACTGCCATTAAATGAATGCCATCCAAAAAGTGCAGACCAGAGAAATGTGTACAAATTCTGGCCTCTCCACTTACTAACTGTGAGGCCTTAGCCAAGTTCCCTAACCTCTTTGAGCCTCAGCTTCTTCATCTGTGAATGGGGATGATGATTCCAACCCATGGAGCGGTCGTGAGGATTAGAGTTATTGTATGTAATTTTCCTACCATGTGCCTGGTATATAGTATGTGTTCAGCAAACAGTGGCTGTTATTATAAATTATCATAAGAGTAGTCATCTTCATCGTCATCCTCATAACAGTAACAATTGTTATGTATATGAGAAAACCTTGGGGGTTTTCAACATCTGAATGGTTTCCTCACATTGTAAGTTATCCTCATTTTCTCCTGTTGACAATCTAAAAAGCCAAGAATGCAACCAAACTCTGAACTTTTCAGCTGTGGCATACTCCCAATGTGCTGCTGGAACTGAAGGTCACACTGCTGTCCTTTATCAGTTTGAAAGCCTCTGCTCTCATCTCTGGAGAGGTGAATGCTGAGGGCTGTGGTGGCTTCCTGAGCCTGGGGTGGAAAAAATCATGGCTGTCCCACATGCTACTTCAGCTCTGAAAGGCATATTCAAAGCTGGAAAGTCAGAGATGTACATATGTCCCCTCCGTCTTGAACCTCCCTCCTATGGCTGATTCATGTTGCTGTATGGCAAAAATCCAACCAATGTTGTAAAGCAATCATTCTTCAATTAAAAAAATATTTTTTTTAAAAAAGCTGGAAAGTCTTTGGCAGCCATCTGGACAATTCAAGGGCACCCTGTGTCTCACTGTGTGGTGATGGGTAAGGACTCAACTTCCCCCAGCATCCTCAACTATGGAAAGGAAGAACCAAGGAATTCTGACCAAGCTATTGGCAAATGCTTCTTGACAAAAAATTGGTGATCCCGTCTCTTTGATGACAGCTGCTGCTGGGGGATCCCTAACCACACCACTAACATTCTGTGTTTACCTCCTCCAGGTCACAGCAACAGCCCAGCAGGCAGTGTGGCCCGCTCTACCACCTCAGACATCAGGCCCAGCCATTCAGTTCCAGAAAGTGTTCATGGAAGAGTTGCACTCAGTCAGGAAGCTCGGTTCCCAAATCTCACCTCACCAGTATTAAGAAATCCTTCTAGTCATCCAGAAGAACCTCTCCAAGCATGGGGTGCCACAAAACCCCCTGGAATGGAGAGCATGGGGATGGTGTATAGCATTCCTGGTTCTTGCAATGGACCAACAGAATCGACATTCTCCGCTTCCTGGAAGGGAGATGCTTTTACCTATGTGACTCCAAGTGCCACCACTCAGAGCAGTCAAGTCAATGAAAATGGAAAAAATCCTTCCTCTGGGAATTCTTGGGTCTCTCTGCATACACTGCCACCTCTTGTTCCTAAGGAGGCTGCTACCCTCTTTGTTACTCGTGATATCCCAGCAGGATGCAGTGGGCCTGCTGGCCACTCTCAGCATCCTACTCAACGAAGCCAAGTATCAGAACGACCCTCCAAGATTGGCCTTCTGACCAGTGGTACCTCAAGGCTGGAGACTGGCCCAGGTGGGGCCAGCAGGTTCCGGGAGCGGTCACTGTCTGTACCCACAGATACAGGTACCATGGATGTAGACTATGAGGAGGAGCAGAAGGCCAGTGAAGCCTGTGCCCTGCCTTATGCCAGTACGAGTTCTGAGGGCAGTAACAGTGCTGACAACATTGCCTCCCTCAGTGCCCAACAGGAGGCCCATCACAGAAGGCAGAGGTCCAAGAGCATCTCACTCAAGAAGGCCAAGAAGAAGCCTTCCCCTCCGACTCGCAGTGTCTCACTGGTCAAAGATGAACCAGTCCTCTTGCCAGAAGGTGGGTCAGTACTACCCAAGGACCAGAGGCCCAGGAGCCTTTGTCTCTCCTTGGAACACCAAGGACATCACTCATCCCACCCAGATACTCAGGGTCACCCAGCTGTGCCAACCTTCAAAGACCCAGAAGGTACACAATTCGCCCATCACTGGTATCTTACTGACTGGAAGTCTGGTGACACCTACCAATCTTTGTCCAGCTCCAGCACTGCCACTGGCACCACAGTCATTGAGTGCACCCAAGTTCAGGGCAGCTCAGAGTCTCTTGCTTCCCCTTCCACTTCCAGAGCCACGACGCCTTCCCAACTTTCCATCGAGGTGGAGGCCAGGGAGGTATCCTCACCAGGAAGGCCTACTGGGCTGATGTCACCCTCCAGTGGATACTCCAGCCAGTCAGAGACACCAACACCCACTGTCTCCATGTCCTTGACCCTGGGCCATTTGCCCCCTCCAAGCAGCAGTGTCCGGGTGCGTCCAGTAGTACCTGAGAGGAAGTCATCACTACCCCCAACATCACCAATGGAGAAAATGTCCAAGTCACGGCTATCGTTTGACCTACCATTGACCTCTTCAACCAACCTGGATCTGTCTGGAATGAGTATCTCAATCCGAAGCAAAAACAAGGTGAGCCAGCATCACTCAGATACAAATTTTGGGGCCAAGCTGGCCCAGAAAACTAGCCCCAACCAGCCAATCATGCCCATGGTTACTCAGTCTGACTTACGTTCTGTTCGCCTGAGGTCCGTCAGCAAGTCTGAGCTGGAAGATGACATCGAGAGCCCTGACTATGCTGAGGAGTCAGGAGCTGAAGTCTTCACCTTGCCAGAGAGGAAGATGAAGCCTCCCATAGCCGAGAAGCCCCCTCTGGCCCGAAGGCCTCCAAGCTTAGTCCACAAGCCACCATCTGTCCCCGAGGAGTACCCACTAACTTCGCCTACCTTGGCTATGACTCCTAAGAGCTCAATTCAGCACATAAGGCCACTCCCTCAAGATATCTACACAGTGGTGCGGAAATCAAAGTCCTCCAGCTTCCCTGAGAGCAGAAGCCCAGGGGAGTCCACAGCACCCTCATCTCTTGTTTTCACACCTTTTGCCAGTTCCTCTGGTGCTTTCTTCTCAGGAACACAGCAACCTCCCCAGGGAAGTATGGAGGATGAGGGCCCTAAGGGGAGAGCCCTCCCTGAAAGAATTAGCCTCCAGAGCCAAGAGGAAGTTGAGAAAAAGAAAGGCAAGATTCCACCTCCTGTACCAAAAAAGCCCAGCGTGCTGTACCTGCCTCTCACTTCACCCACGGCTCAAGTGGAGGCCTATGTGACTGAACCAAGACTGCCCCTCAGCCCCATCATCACCCTGGAGGAAGATGCCAAGTGTCTCCCAACTGATGACCACCTGCCATCTGCTGGTACAAGGATGACCTCAATGCCACAGTCCAACAGTGAAAGGGAAGCAAGTCCTCCAGGTTAGTAAAATGTCTATGGGCTTTTCCTTTCACTTACAGAAAAGACAAGAGTGAGGATGGGGTGCCAGAGGCAGAAGCAAATGCCCCCAGATAATGAGCCTGATCCCAGGGCGACCAAATCAAGAGGGGACACCTCTTGAGGTTTGAGTTACTTTAAATTGGTCTCACTGCCCTCGGGATCAGGACTGATCCAGGGGTCGGGGGGGTTTCCACAGTGATCAGTGGAGTATGGGACAGTGTGGAACAGTTTACCCTGGAGCCCCCAGTGGTGAACTAATGAAATCAAACTAGGTCTCAGCACCCTAGGACCTTAGGAAACCATCTTCCTCCTCAGGCAGGCATCTCCTGCCCTAGGAACAGTCTCTCCATCTCACTAGACAGCACTTTTCACCAGCTTCCACTAAATTTAGTTTCATGCATGGGATTAAGTACCCTCCCAGTCTGAGTTCAAGTGCCATAGCAGGCTGGCGGGCTTCAAGCAGTGTAATATTTTACCGCCAGCAGCTTCTCTTAGTGTTTTCTAGAGGAAAGGGGGCTCACTTTCTTGGATGGTTTGAGCCTATCTCTGCCTGGAACCATAAGACCAAGCTAAATGATATTTCTCATCCTTTTGGGGGTTTTTTTTTTTTGTCTTTTTTTGCTTTAACTGTGGTAAAATACACATAAGGTAAAATTTACCATCTTAACCATTTTGAGGGCTTCCCAGGTGGCACTAGTGGTAAAGAACCTGCCTGCCAATGCAGGAGACAGAAGAGATATGCGTTCAATGACTGGGTCAGTAAGATCCCCTGGAGGTGGAAATGGCAAGCCACTCCAGTATTCTTGCCTGGAGAATTCCATGGACAGAGGAGCCTGGTATGCTCTAGTTCATAGGGTTGCAAACAGTCAGACATGACTGAAGCAACTTAGCATGCATGCAACCATTTTTAAGTGCACAGTTCAGTAGGTGTTAAGCACATTTATAGTGTTGTGCAGCCATCACCACCATTCATCTCCAGAACTCTCTACATCTGGCCAAATTGAAGTCAGTACCCAGTCAACAATAACTACCCATCATCCTCTCCCCCAGCCCCTGGCAACCACTCTTCTACTTTCTGTCTCTATGAATTTGACTCCTCTAGGGACCACATGTAAGTGGAATTATATAGTATTTGTCTTTTGATGACTGGCTATTTTATTTAACATAATGTCCTCCAGGTTCGTCTGTGTTTCTCATCTTTTTTGAAACCCTTAACACAAACATCAAAATCTTATGGCCTTCCTTAAACTGAATTGGATTTTCAACATAAGTTAAATCATTGTAACTAAAACAAGCAAACAAATCAAAGCCACAAGTAATTTTAGAATCTGCTTCCTCAAACTCCACAGGCTCCCTCTGAGATTCAGATAGGTCCCACTTCCACCCACTGGTTGAGTCATTGCTTTAGATTGTTCTCAGCTCCTTGAGTTTTAAAAATGATACATTTAAAACAAGAGAATGCTCAGGCAACCTGAGCATTGTTGTAATGGAAAAGGCACGAGAAAACAGGGACCCAGGCTGGTGTTTATCACTCCCTCCACATTGCACAGGCCAAATCACTAACCTTTGGAACATCTTGTTCTCTGCAGAATGGAAACAGCAAGTCTCTGCCCTGCTGCCCTCCCAGAGTTGCTCTGAACATCAGGTGAAATACATATGAGAATGTGCTTTGTCCTAATGATTGTGGTCAAAGTAATTCTTTCTGGTTTTTATGCCTAGGGAGTTTGATAGAACCAAGCACCGAAGAAAAAAGTGTAATCAGTGATAAAACAGCAGAATGGATTGCAGAAGATGATGATGATGTGTTTGTGGCTTCACGTACAACTGAAGATTTATTTACTGTGATCCACAGGTCTGGACCAATTTCTTTAATTCCCATTATAATTGCCTTCTCTCCTTATACCAGAAGAAAAACTGCTACCTCTAAGCATTAGAGTGGAAACTGGAGACTAAGTTCAGATGTCCACGTATGTGAACACAGACCAGGGCCTCACATCTCTGATTCACTGACATCTTCGGGTGAAGTGGAGGAGGGGCAGGCAGGGAAGGGAGGACCAGGTGCGGAGTGAGAGGCCCCTCGTCTCTTAGCAACCACATGGCCTATTGTGGCTCCATCTGCTCTCTCACAGCTCTGCCTACAGTCAGAGACGTTTAACCCTTCACAGAATTCCTGTACCAAAAAAAAAAAAACTCATCAAAAAGTAAAGTGGGACACCAGGCTGAGCATCAAAGTAGGAACTTAGCCAAAGGATGACCACACGGGGATCCAGTTATTGGGCCGGGGCACAAGGCAGGGATTCAATAGTGAAGAAACTGGAAAGAGCCCAGTTACTGGAGTTGGAGCACAAGTTCAGAACAGGATCAGCTCCCAGGCTGTCTTGATTCAGAGTCACTGAGCTACTAGCCTTGACTCCTTAAATTCTTCCTTGGTCCCAGAACCTGGGCAGGACTGAGCCTGCAGGCACAGGCCCAGTGACTCCATACGTGGACACTGAAAGGAGTATAGGGACAGGAGGAACTCTGAGGACTTAGCAGAGAAAGAGAAAGCTGGTAGGTACAACTGCTCACAAAGCTGTTGCATGGAAGTTCCCAGGTCATATCACTGACACTCATGACACTATATGAAGCAGTAGGAAATGTTTGCACATGACTTCACTGAAAGCACACTTTCTTATTTAGGTCCAAAAGAAAGCTGCTTGGCTGGAAGGAACCTGGTGAGACCTTTGCTGGCAGCAGCAGACCAAGCTCCCACTCACCAGTAAGGAACCCACCTGAGTCTCCGGTCAGTGAGTTGGCTGCCTCTGCAGGGTCAAGCGGCAGCACCAACCTAGATGCTGGCAGAAATGATGATTTCAAGGCCTTGCTACAGAAGAAGGGAAGCAAGGCAACTCCAAGGTCCCGCCCCTCAGCAGCCGAACTGCTGAAGACCACTAACCCACTGGCTCGGCGAATTATTGCACAATTTTCAAAAGACTACAAAACCCCTGATAACCCCAGTACCTAAGCCCTGGGTTCAGCAAGCAAGGTTTAGTTACTAAACTCGAGTAGAGAAGGGGGAAGAGGAAAAGAAGGTTTTGAAAAAGAACATAACAAAAAAGCCTGCATTTCTTTGACATTAACTTACACTCTGGACAGCAGGAGAGAGGCCACATCTAGAACTAAATTTATCAGGCACTTTAATCATCTTCAGACATTTTACATTTTCATACTTAAAATCTTGCCATTACTGAGTACCACTTTTCTCCTTATTTCCCCCAGTGGTATGCACTTAGAAGAAATTCTCAGATGCAAGGGCACATGTGCCATCTTTTCAACCAATCACCAGACTGCTCCATCCCTGGCTCCTGTCACTGAGGGGTGCAGTGAGAGAGCAGTTTGAGGGCTGCCAAACCCAGGGGATATAGGGTGCCAATGCTGATTATTCCCTTTCCCATCAAGGCCCTGATGACCTTGTGTGGAGAAACAGAAGGACTCTAATGCCTCTTCAACCACAGTATAACTCTCTCCCATGAGAGGTTTGCAGGTGTGCACTTATTTCGGCATGGGGTTGATTGGATGGCTTTTGTAGTGCAAAATATGAATGTGACTCTGTCCTGAACTTCATGCCTTTTTCAGTTTGATTGTCTACACGGAGATCAGGGTGATGAATTTCAGTAAACATGTAAACCTCCCCCTCCTCACTCCTCTGCTAGAAAAGATCAGAACGGGGTTGCTTTGGATGAACCAAGCTCAGTCAACAAACAAGGCAGCCATCTGTTCACTCACATCTACCCAAGGTAACTCACACATGTGCTTGAGATCCTTCAAGTGTCTGCCACCAACGATAGCTAGTGTCTGTGCCCAGCTCATGCTGCATTTGAAGAACTCTGGTTTCATTTGCATATAGCATTCATTACAGGAAGTCATTAGCTGAAGGAAGAGCACCTTCAGAGCATCTTCACCACCATTCAGTTCAGATTGTGGTTTGTAGTTGGTTTTATTTTGTCTGAAGGAAATTTTCCTCTCTTCCCAAGCCGAGAACATACACACTAAAAGGATAGATCGAAAATCTGAAAGGCGGCCTTGCAAGTTACTGTGGTCCATAACCCCCCCAAAAAGGGCTACTTTTTGCCATTTAGGTTCTGCTGTTTGACCAGTTTTCAATTAACCATGCTAGGGGAGAAAGTAAGAACTTTGTTAAATGGGATGTTGACAGAGCACCAGAACAATCATTGTGACCCCTTCCCCCCACCCCCTACCAAAGCTTATAGACACTAACTATTCTTGTCAGTTCAATTTTCTAAGCAAAGTAAGAGCCGTGATTCATTTGATTTTCATATGTCTGGTTTCTGAGAGGTTGAGAGGGAAAACAGACAGCTTTGAACCAAGAAACTGGCTGACCAATAATGGAAAATTAATTGTCCGCCATTCCCAAGAGGGAAAAAAGAAAGTCAAATGAAATTCACAAAGAGAGTATCCTGACCTCTTCCTCCTTCACCCCCCACCCAACAGATTCATTGGTCAACCTCTTGGAGGATGTGGAGACGTCCCCCCGGAGACAAGCAGATCTTTATTTTGATGGGTCTCAATAAGAAGCAAACCCTTTAGCCCAGCTGCCCACACAGCAGACAGAGCAGCTGGAAAACCACACTAAGTGCTGAGGGGACTTGGGCCTCTCACAGAGAAGGCCTAGGCCTGGGCCCTTGGTTGGTACGGTTTGGAATTCTAGACTTCTGAGTACAGACCAGGCCCATCCACTCCCTTACCATTAGCACCTCCCCCTGATTTAGACAGAAGCTACTTCAAATAATAGACAGTTACCAAAAGCTCAGTTGCTTTTGAAAGCATTCCAACTAGTTGGTTCAAAGGCCCTGACCAGATTTCAGAGGTTTTGCCTTAAGTAAAATAAGATTCATTCCTAGTCTTAATTTATATACAAATACCACACTTGTCTGCCCTCGACTCAGAATTTCAAAGGACAGAAACATTTTCCTTTGTGGGGAAATGGAGTGTTTGTTCTTTTGCCTAACAAAAGTGAAAGACTGGCTGGGCCCTCTACTCTTGAACTATTATGAGCTATAAAACAGAGTATGAGACTCACATCGTATAGGACTTGTTACTTCTGCTGACTTTTTTGGAAGCTTCTTGTTTGCTGCTTTTGTCTCTCCCCTCATTTTGCTGCCTCTGGTGGTTTTCCCCAAAGATTCTAAAGCTGAATACCCAGACATCTTGACATTTTTCAATTACCCTGTCTTGCTTTCCTCTGCAATATTCTGCATGCCTGCAATTTTTAGAAAGTCTTATACATCTTTACTATGGCCCTCCAATACCCAGTGTTGTTCCCATTAGCAGAAAAGGATTCGGGGCAGAGATGGTGTGGTCAGAGGTAACATTGAGGACTGGTAATAATCATTTAATATTGCAACAGGTGGACCTAGTCCTAAACAACCAAGCAAACTATAGAATTTCTGTCAGTCTTTGATGAACATCATACCAGACAGCTCTCCTAGTCCTAGCACTCAACGTTTTGCTTCCCCTTGTTTATCATAACACCAACTCTGTCTCCCATCCAGGCAGAAGCCGTAGTGTTTGCTGCCCTCTGCACCTACTCTGCCAAGACTAGAGAAGAGAGGCAGAAAGCCCCTTCGAGTAAGGCTTTCAGAAAACCCACTGTTGCCACTATTACTAGTGTGAATAAAAATAATAATTTTTGAAGGTGGAATACAGAAGGGATTCAGATGAAATGAAGTTAGCCCCAGGAAATCAACTTCCTATTCAAGTTGTTTCTGTCCCTTTGTTTCCTCTAATTCCAACTAATAGCAGCAGGATTCTCTGCTGGACTGACTTCTGTCTAGTCGGGGGTAGAGGTAGTCATCTCCAGGGGAGGAGGTTAATCGATAGCTAAGAGCACTTTGCCCTTGGTGGGTATTCATTATGTGTTTGTGGTTCAAAGGTTGAGGGTGGAAAACAAGTCATTCTCAGCACAACGGGAATCTTTGCTGCTGTCTCTTGTCCTTTGCCTGCCTCAGTCTCTCACCTGGGCCTCCCACCTGGCCCCAACTTGTCCCTCAGTACATATTCCTGTGAACTGCATCCCTAGCCAACAGCTCACCCTTTAAAGAGGCAAGATCATAGGAAGCAAAAAAGCTCATGCTAGCTTACTGACCACAAATCAACCAGTTGATCTGGAAACATTACCTTGAATGTACAAAGACAGGCTAGAGTCTACAAGGCTCTTATAACAGGAATGTCACTAGACACCCATTTTAATTCTCCAGTGACACAGGTCAGATTGTGATCCCACAAGACCCATCAGTTTGAGCAGATCTGTCCATGCACCTGCTCTCTTCCTCATCAACAAACTATTCCCTAAAAAGACAAGTTCATAGTCAGTGCTCTGTTCCTCCAGTACAGCCTTCAATTATCACCAAGTATGTAACACAATGGCCAGCCTTCACTTTAATATGATTTGCCAGGGCCAGGGCTAGAGTGGGGTGAGTGAGGCACCTGGGGTGCAAAATTTAAGGAGGCACCCACTCTCAGGGCCATGTAAGTGCCTTACCCTAATCCCGGCCTTGCAATTTGCACTCTGTAAAGTAATATCAATGTAACTTCTTCCTACGGACATGTCCGTTTCTTCTGATTTGAGGGGGGGAGGGTAACTCCCCATCTGTTCCGGCCTTGCAATTTGCACTCTGTAAAGTAATATCAATGTAACTTCTTCCTACCGACATGTCCGTTTCTTCTGATTTGAGGGGGGGAGGGTAACTCCCCATCTGTTGTTGCACCAAATGTTTCATTGCCATCAATTTTTCCATGGTTCTAAACTTTTGTATGCCTATACATCAAAGACTCTTCAGTATTATCAGAAAACATGGCTGATTTCTCAGTAACCTGCTCCAAGTGGCAAGTTAGCACTCATTTCAGTAGGAATACTGACAGGGACAGCCCTTCAGCAAAATAGTGAATGAGTTGGAGGTCTGTCATTGGCATCCTCTGTCTTCTCTTTCTGCTCCATTCCCCCCAGACCTTGCTTCTTGGTACCAACTCTCCTGAATGCCTCCCCGTTTGTCCTTCTCCTTGCTAAGGAAAGCATGCTCTCAGGAAAGGAATAAATTCCTTTACTTTGAGATTATAAGGCTTATTGAAACCTCTTTGGGAGGTCATTTGCATTTTAACAGGGAAAAAGCCTTAAGCCAAAGGAATGATGTTCTACTTGTAGAATTTTAGGCATCTATCAGTTACAGAAGTATATTTTTCACCATGGAAAGGTCAAATTCACTGACAACTAATTCCTCAACATAGAAAATACACCTTAATCTCCTGGAACTATCTGAGTAAATTGCTGATGGTCAATTAAATTCTCCTCATTCTCAGTGCTGTTCAGTATAGTTTCTACCAAGGGAGTCTCAGAAATGGCTACTCAAGACACTGAGAAGGCCTAGATAATTCTTACTGTACCTTAACATTTTTACACAAATGCAATTATTACTACTTTAAAAACATAAGGATTTAAAGAGTTTGTGAAAATGTGTCTTGTTTATGAAAGGTGAAACTATCCAATAAGTGCCAGATCAGTGTCAGCCATCTGGTATCAGTAGTGATTATTAAACTTCCTCAAGGTGCAACTTTACTGCACGCAGCCTCGACCCCAACCCTTATCTGTGTTTTGTGCTACCACTTTCTCTTGGTGTGAGAATGAGACCAGATCTATTCCAGAGTACGGTCCCTCCAAAGCCTTTGTGTGTATTTCAGCTATAAGTGACTAAACTATTACGGATTTAAAATGATGAGAGAGTGAGAAAGAGATGCAAAGAGCTAACTTTGTGAAAGGGCGGCAAAAATGATAAGGATTTTAACAAGGATACGAAATAATTTTTTTAATAATCTGAAACATTTTGTAGAGGAATACAGTAGGAAATGGTCATAGGCACACATTTGAGGCACTTTTAATAAGTTTAGCAAAAAATTTTGCATAAGTAATGAGTTATGTGAAATGTATATCTACTTCTGTTCAGTAAAGCCCAAAATCTAGGCCAGTGGTTCTCAAAGCATGGTCCCAGGACCAGCAGCAGCAGTATCCGAATAGTGTGTGTCTGTGTGTGTGTGTGTGTGTGTGTGTGTTCTAGTGATGTTACTTCTTCAAGCTCCTGAGTCACTATAGCCACGACTCCAAATGATTCTAAGCCTTTCCTATCTTTTCTGCTGTCATTACATTACATGATCAATCTCCGGCCATGTGACTTATGTTATCATGTTCGTCAGATAATATGTTTATTTGGTGTTAATTAATTATCATACTGAATCAACTACTTGCTCAACCTGCAGAAACTTTTGATTTGACTTAGCCAGCACATCTGGCCTGTTTTTGGTTTAAAAACAATTTTTTAATCCACAAATAGGGAAAAGAAAATGTGTTACATTTGTTTGGTACTGCCGACCCTTAAATGTCTATCTTCCCTGTGGTGGCTATTCTCTAGGGAGGTTCTTATAGAAGTAGATTTGATTTTTAAGACTTTGCATATTTGTGGAATTTGATATCAACAAATCTGCAAAAAATTCTGAACTGCAGCAACTAGTTAACTACTCTTTCTTTATTCCTTATGTGGTGTTGAGCTCTTTTTAATGTCCAATTTTACAAAATGTTCTGCATGCAAACGCAGCATTGTGCCCATTGTACAAGTCACCGGGCACTCATCTCCTCCTCCATATGTATGATGGTGAAGAAATAGCAACATGTATGTTCTTACCTCTCCTAATCAATTGTAAATTACAAATCTTTTCATTAATTTTTAAATGAGATATATTTACTCTGGCTAGTAGTTAAAATTTTATTCTTTTTATTATATTTCATTGCTACTTTTTTCTACTGACTCCAGAGCTTACTTTGGGGATTATCTCTTATTTCTAGATTGTTGTATTGATCTTATTTCTATATTTATCTGTAGTCATGGAATGTTAGTGCTGAAAGGGACCAACCTCTCCTCTTACAGATGAGGAAACTGAGTCCCAGAAAGTTAAATAACTTACGCAAGGTCATGCAGTGGCAGGGCCCAGCCTCAATCCCAGTTCTCCTGCCTCTGGGCCCAGTGTTTTTTCATCCAAATCACTGCATTTATGGAAGACCCACAGCTGGCTTCTACTATTATGATACATGAATTTCCCAGGTATGTCAGTGAATAATATATGTGCTTTAGGGAAAATGTTCAAGAGTTCTTTAGTTCATGAATCCAAAGACAAACCTTATTTTCAGTATAGAAACATTCATTTCCCTCCAGATTAAATATATGTGCCCTACTCTTTACAGTGGATGTTTTCTCTAAGAGTTATTTGAAAAACTGAATTTTTATAGATCAAATCCATGTTTTAGGAGAGAAGCTTCTTACAGAAGGGCATCTTCTGGTGACTTCTTTTGAAAAATGAAAAATGCTCTTGTCCATATCCCTAATGCCTCTGTTTTCTTTCTCAGTGTGAATTTTTGTAACTGGTATTTATTTAAAGTAGGGCAAACCAATATAGGCTTTCCTAGAATCTACTTTATTCTTCCTTTATTAAACTACAAGGTAGTTTCAGACTGTTAGATATTCATGAGATACTTAGTTATGTTTTAGAAACTTCTTGATATTTTATCAATCCCTGGGCTCAAGCTCTATCTCAATTTTATCAAACAATAACCACATTTTCTCATCAGTACTGAGCTCTGCCTGCTGTTTTCCAGAACATGCTTTGCCTAATGTTCCTTATTATGACTCTCTCTTTAGCTGTTATCAGGCTTCCTTCCAAAGTTCATGTGTACCTCACTAGTGTGGTTTAGTGGATTGCAGGCAGTACTCGTCAGAAGTAGTGGTGTTTTCAGTTATCCCATTGTCCCAGTCCTTCTCCTGAACCTGCTCTGGTTTCCCTTTTCAGGAATACTCAGAGATTGGTGGGATTTTCCTCTCCATCTAGACCAAGGTTTGACAAATTGTTACTATAAAGTTTCAGATAGTAACTCTTTCAGGCTTTGTGGGCAAGGAACTCTGTGGGCGAGGAACAGATGGTCTCTGTAGCATAGTCTTCTTCTTTGTTACTGTTTGTTTGCTTGCTTTACAACACTTTAAAAATGTAAATACCATTCTCTTGGGTTATACTAAGCTGCAGACTGAAATTGGCCTGCCTGTCATAGTTTCCTGACCCCTGGGTTGGGCATTTCTTTGACCCACATGATGACTGGGTTGTGTGCTGGGTGATGTGCACACTGCCCTTCCATTTACTGCAATGTCAGACTCACCTGCACAGAGGTGGGTAGAAAGGCGTTGCACATGCCAACCAGTACTCTGTGACAGATGCCCTTCATAGACTCTCTCAATCTGTCTCTGTCTCTGTCCCTGTCTCTGACTACCTCAGGGTAGAACCCTCATTCTTTTCTCCAGATCTCCTGTACTGGTTATCTAATGTGCCTCTGCTTTCTCAAGTGTGGGTTAAGCTGGCAGGAAAGAATGGTTTTTTGAGTTTTCTTATTTCGTTCATTCCAAACTATGGTCGGGGACCCCTGGCCCGGGTCATCAGTCCCACTCTGCCCAATACTTCCATCACGTGTTCAGGGCCATCTCTGGAAAGTCTGGTGGCCCAGGCCATGAGATTCCAGTTCAATCTACAGTTTCCTAGGAAAATTGCCAGCTCTCTTGGTTCCAACGGCTGGTTTTAAAATCTGAAATGTCCATGTGCCCATTTTAATGTGATTTGGACTTGTTCTAGACTCAGCCCGAGCAATGAAACCAGTGAAGTATGGAAGATGTTCTATGTCCACAGTTTTCCCCTGCCTAAACCACCTGCATCCCCGACCCCCGGTCCCAGGAATAGGCTCCTTGGGATGCCCCATGCAGCACCACAGCCAGCAGGCATTCAGCACACTGCCACCTCCTGTTTTCTGAACCTCTAAAAGGATTCCTTAAAGCTCCTCCACATGTCTCTTCATCTCACTCCTGTCTCTACCTCTCATGCTGCTTGGGAGTGTAAAGCTCAGTTTCACGTTTTCACATTTGCTCGTATACATATTGGAGGATACGAGTGAATAACAAGTTATGTGCCTGTGTGTGAGAACATGGTTTCTCCACCTGGACTGTGATGGTCCCATTTGCTGGTGTATCTTACATGCACACACACACACACTGTTCAGTTCTCTAATCAGTTCTCTGGTCCAGTTCCAGGTCTGATGGGGCTGGTCAAGGAGTAGGGGATAGTGGGGGCTTCTGAGACATTTCCCTTTTCTTGTCTTTTGAAACCTTCTTTCCATTGGCTTATGCTCACTTCTCCCAGGAAGCCATTTGAAGATACTCCTCTGGGGCAGTTTTGGACAGGCCAACATAAAGAGAGCTAGGACTTTAATCCTGTATGAATTCTGTCACTTAGACGTATCTCTCAGGCTGCAGGATTTTTTAAATCTAAGAACTTTGTTTCTGGGGAACTTTAGTTTGCTTTCTGTCATTTGAGCCCAGGGATTTACCCACTTACTGAAATCTACATTTTTAAAAGATCAGAGACACCAGTAACTTTAGGATTTCCGTATTTAAAAGCATTCATGAAACAGTTCCTTTCTGCCTTTTGATTAGGATTTCCAGCCTTGAGGGAACCAGGCTTGTACCTTGGACTCTAAAGCAGCAAAAGTAGCACACTTGCCAAAAGCAAAATGAGGAAGGAGGATTGACTAGTCGTACTCTGCAGTCAGGAGGACTTTTGTTAAGTTAGTGCTTACCATTCAGTGCTTACTGAGTGGGTGTGATGCGCTCTAGAAACATAAGGGAGATAGGAACTTGCAGACCAATATCCTAAACTGAAAGACAGTGATGAGGCAGTTCCCCCAGTGATGAGAATGTATCCCTGGATGAAATTTCAAGAAGCAACATAAACTAGGAGAAGAGTGTCATTCCAGTCTTTTTGGAATTATAACACAGAATGGAAGGGAGCCCTCTGTGGGGTGATATTACAAAGGGTCTTGTTTGTCTTTTTCTTTTTTCCTTAAAAAAAAAAAAAAAAACATTCCTTATTGGCTTGCTACCAGCAATTGAACTGTATTCTTTATATAGCTAGAGCTGTTTGTGTCTTCTTAAAATAAACTTTTTCTGTTAAAATCATTTTCTGTTTCATCCTCTGGTTCTTATGGTAGCAATTATTCATTTATCCAGATACTAGTTTGTGAGTACCTTTTCCCAACAACACAAGTATGGGTCCCACAAACATGAGCTTTGATTCTCACAAACCCCCGAGAGCCCAAAACAGATATGCAGGACAGTGTCTTACAGAAACATAACCCATCCATCTGTGAATCTACGTTATATGGGCAGGGAATCCATGCTTGAGGACTTTGTCTCAGGAATTCTCATTCAACTGCTCCTGGAAGCAACAAGGGGTCTCAGACAGACACAGCTCTGGTGAAGTGGGCAGCAGTCACCAGGCTCCTGAGGGGAGGAGGTTGCCATAGCAACTGTGCTCAGGGCATGCACTCCCTCTTTGTTCTTTGGCTCAATGAAGCCACCCGGCAGGGCAGACCAGAGTGAGTCAGGACTGGGAGAAAAAACGCAGACCAGATATGGCTCAGATCACCTCCTCCCTCAAGAAGGGAATGGTCCCACCATACTGGTGGTGACAGCTATATTCATGGGTCTAGTCCCATTCAAGACTTTGTTCTCTGGTCCCAACTGGCCCAGGCCTCTAAGGGTGAGGCCCTTGCAACCAGCCTTCTTGTCTTCCCAGTCCCCATGCTAACTCACCTCCCCTGATACCACTGGACTGATATTCCAAAAAGACACCACAGAGCTGGAAACAACCTAGAAAGTTTACAGGGGAAGGGAGAAGGGCCAGGGCTACTTTCAGACAATAGCAGGTATCAAGACTTAAGACCAAGGTCTGAGAAGGAGGTTGACTCAATGTGGGCCTCATGGCATGCAGTACCTCAATGAGACCCTGTGGTTCCAGCTAGTGTTGATCCCAGCAGGATCTGGGCCACCTTTTACCCCCCACCATGAGCTGGGGAAGCTTTGAGGGATTGATCCACATTGACCAAAGTCACAAAGTACATGTTAAAGGCAAAGAGATACTTTGCCTTTAAATACTTTAAATATACCAGTATATTTAACCAAAGAGAGAGCATACCTTTAAAGCACAGGTCATTCAGGTCAACAGGAAGCCCACAGACTGAACTGAGTTCTTATACATTGCCCAGAGTACTTAATGTTGATTTTTAATTTTTCAAAATGTAGATAAGACACAAAGTCTTCACTTTACCCAGTTCCCCACCACTCCCTGTTATATGAAGTCCAATTAATTAGCTTCATTCATTTATATCACCTGCCAGACTCCTGAAGGCATTTGAGTCTGTGACCCCTTGTTGTGGTTGGGTTCCCTGGGAAGCAGACTCAGAGATAGAGTTTGGTGTGTGGGATGTTTATTAGGAAATGTCCAAGGAGACATCTGTGCGAGAGAAGGGAAGGAAACAGGCTTAGGCTGAAGGAGAAAAGAGCAGCAATGCAGGCGCCAGATAGCCTTGGCTGACTCTACAGAGAGCTCTGGCACTAATATGACCCATCAGAGTTGTCCTGCACAAGCCAAAAGCAGGCTTTCACAACCCTGCTTCAGTCAGTCCCTGGCTATGGGCCATCCCACCAAGGGCCTGACCTTGGGTGAGGTGACTCTCTCCAGCAGAGGCAGTCCCCAAAGGCGGGGGACAGCTAAAGAAAGTTCTTGGCTGACAGCACTCCCAGCAGCTGGAGCAACATCTGCCCTTGAAGGGAGATCTGGCCAACACAGTTCTGTGTCCATCACAGGTGTCTTTCTCCCAAGCATAGTGCAGGTTAAACACTTACAAATTCTGGGACTTCCCTGGTGGTCCAGTGGTTAAGAATCCACCTGCCAATGCAGGGGACACAGGTTTGATCCCTGGTCCAGGAAGATCCCACATACCATGGAGCAACTAACCGCCTGTACCACAACTACCGAGCCTGAGCTCTAGAGCCCATGCACTACAACAAGAGAAGTCACCGCAATGAGAAGCCTGAGCACTAGAGAGTAGACTCTGCTCCCACAAATAGAGAAAGTCTGCACACAACAATGAAGACCCCTCACAGCCAAATAAATCTCTTAAAAAAAACACACAAATTCTCATTTTATGTTACCTCATACAGATTACAGTTCATTTGATGAGGTATATAGCTTTCTTAAATTGTAGTCACCATTTCAGGATACATGCCAGTAGCCTTAATTGGCCTTTGGTGTTTCACAAGCCTCATTCATGCCCATTAGCAAACTTTCTCTGAGGGCATGTCATAGATACAAATGGATAAGTCAATCCATCATAGATACTAGGAATAAAATGGTATCAGCATCTATCAAGCACCTGAGATGGCTCAGACTTTGTGTTCTCCCCCAGCCACTTCTGTTATTCATCCAGTCAGCAAAAATGTAACAGGCTCCTTCTACCTACCTGGCTGAGTGCCGAAGAATTGATGCTTTTCAACTGTGGTGCTGGAGAAGACTCTTGAGAGTCCCTTGGACTGCAAAGAGATCAAACCAGTCAATCTTAAAGGAAATCAACTCTGAATATTCACTGGAAGGACTGATGCTGAAGCTCCAATACTTTGGCCACCTGATGCGAAGAGCCCACTCATTAGAAAAGACCCTGATGCTAGGAGAGATTGAAGGCAGGAGGATAAGGGGATGACAGAGGATGAGATGGTTAGATGGCATCACCAATTCAATGGACATGAGTCTGAGCAAACTCTCGGAGATAGTGAAGGACAGGGAGGCCTAGCATGTTGCAGTCCATGGGGTCACAAAAATTTGGATACAACTGAGCAACTGAACAACAGCAATCTGCCTGGCAGGGCGTTAGGTGCTGAGGGTAGAGTAATGACCAACACAGATACTGTCCCCATTCCTCATGGAGCTTACAGTCCAGTGGGGCCACTGCTGAGACTAGTTCATTCTACAGCCCTGTTGATGAAGCAGAGCCATTGAAAAGGTGAGTGTGATACTAAGTCAGTCATACAGAGAAAGACAACTATCACATGATATCATTTATATGTGGAATCTAAAAAAATGATACCAAACAGAAATAGACTCATAGACATAAAAAACAAACTTATAGTTACCAAAAGGGAAAGGGGGTGTATAAATTAAGAGTCTGGGATTAACAGATACACAGTACTATATATAAAATAGATACTCAACAAGGACCTAACTGTATAGCACAGAGAACTATATTCAATGTCTTGTAATGACCTATAATGGAAATGAATGTATATGTATATACATATATATATATGTAATACATATATATATATATATAAAAACTAAATCACTTTTCTGTACACCTGAAACTAACACTACATTGTATATCAACCATATGTCAATAAATTTTTTTTTTCATTTATTTTTATTAGTTGGAGGCTAATTACTTTACAATATTGTAGTGGTTTTTGCCATACATTGGCATGAATCAACCATGGATTTACATGTGTTCCCCATCCCCATCCCCCCTCCCACCTCCCTCCCCATCCCATCCCTCTGGGTCTTCCCACTGCACCAGCCCTGAGCACTTGTCTCATGCATCCAACCTGGGCTGGCGATCTGTTTCATACTTGATAATATACGTGTTTCAATGCTATTCTCTCAGAAATTTTTTAAAAAAGAAAGAAAAGGTGAGAGTGAATAATACCCTGAACACAGGAGGAAGGGTTGGCTGGCTTTTTATAAGGAGTGAAGAGAGTTCTTCTAAAGTAAGAGGACAGAAAGCAGAGTATTTGGGCATAAACACAGGTTTTATGGACTGGTGTGAATATAAGAGCCTGAGGAAGTTCATTTCTGGCTACTTCAAATTTCTCAGTGAAATAGGAAGCAAAGCCATCATCTGAGATGGTGTGGACTTTTGGGTGGAGAGGTCACTCTCTCTGGAAATAACAAGGCAATGTGGACGTCATACAGTAACCTGGGATTCCTTTCTCCTAACTCCTGGATGGAATAGAGACCGCCATATCTCTCCATCCTAAACATAACTCTTCCTGAACCTCACATCACTTTTCAGCTACCATCCTGTGTCTCATCTCCTTTCATTTAAATTAACATCATGATAAAAATGAACTTATTTACAAAACAGAAACAGACTCAAAGACATATAAACTTACTTATGGTTACCAAAAGGGAAAGCAGGGGAGGGGATAAATTAGGAGTTTGGGATTAGCAGAAACACACTTCTATACATAAAATAGATAAACAACTAGGTCCTACTGTATAGTACAGGTAATTACACTCATTATCTTGTAATAACCTATAATGGAAAAAATGTGGAAAAGAATGTATATATGTATGTGTGTGTGTATATATATATATATATATACATACACATATCTGAATCACTGTGCTGTACACCTGAAACTAGTACAATATTGTAAATCAACTATACTTCAACTTAAAAAAATTAGGATAGGATAATCTTTAATATTAACTACATTTATAACTAATTTATTTCTTTCAAGAGTTGATAATGAAAACAAATTTTAATTTTTGATCCTTCATGAGTCAAATGTCTCAACTCTGCATTGCTGTGTGAAATAATATTTTGTGAACATTTGCAATTAATGAGAAGTCATTTTACTTGTATATTTTAAAATTATAACACCTCAAATTCTCCAAAGGATAGTTATCTATTCTTTGGTTTTGCTTAATATCAAACCAACAAATATGAAACCAACAGATATTGAACAAGAAAAAAAAATTAACATCTTGAAAGAATTGTCACCACTGCCCAGCTCTGTTCTTCATGTGTCACCCTCTCACAACTCTCTCTGATCTGAGTTCTACCCTCCTCCCTCCACCATGTCCACATGCTAGCCTGAGGACACTGAAGAACTCCATGTCAAAAACTTCCAGTGATGCTTTCAGTTTTGTCTTATACCTTTGAAGTACTTGGTACCATTGAGCACTGCCTTCTCAATAAGCTTCTTCCTAAAATAGAAGCTTCTTTGTTTGGCCTCCCTGACATTGCACTCTCCTGGTTTCCCCATTCACTTACCTGATCACTCCTTTGCAATTTCCCTTGCTTCTCTCTCCACCTTATTTTATTATTTTTTTTAATTTTTAT